ACAAATATTGTTCAGTGGCTGGGCAGTATGTAAGCAATTGCTTAGGTCAAAATATAGAAAGGAGAGGTTAGTCTGGTTTTCTCTTGAAATAAACATTAGATTGTATTATCTGAGCAACCTTAGACCCATCTCCCTGCTGCCATTTTCATCCAAACTCCTCGAGCGCTTAGTCTACAATCGTCTAAGCTCCCACCTCAATGACAACAACCTCCTCGATCCACTACAGTCTGGCTTCCATCCCCTACACTCCACCAAAACCGCCCCTACTCAAAATCACTAATGACCTGCTAACCACCAAAGCTAATGGCCACTACTCAGTCCTCCTACTCCTCGACCTCTCTGCAGCCTTCGACACAGTTGACCACCCCCTCCTCCTTAATAAACTATACTCCCTTGGCATCAGAGACTCCGCTCTCTCCTGGCTCTCCTCCTATCTATCCCAGCGCTCTTTTAGCATTACCTATAACGCTGCCACCTCCCCCTCTCTCCCCCTCTCTGTTGGGGTCCCCCAAGCCTCTGTCCTCGAGCCCCTTCTCTTCTCCATATATATACTCCTCCCTTGGCCAACTGATACACTCCCACGGCTTCAACTACCACCTCTACGCCGATGACACGCAAATCTACCCCTCTACCCCTCGCCTCACCCCTTCAGTCTCCACCTGAATCGCCTGCCTACTGAACGACAGATCAGACTGGATGTCACTCCACTTCCTCAAATTAAACCTTTCCAAAACCGAGCTCCTAATTTTCCCCCCAGCCCGCGCCCCACCCTCTCCATCACGACCAACAACGCCACCATCAGTCCCACCCCGCAAGCCAAAGTCCTAGGTGTCACTCTAGACTCAAATCTGTCCTTCCAACCCCATGTCCAATCGCTGGCAAACTCATGCAGGCTCCACCTCTACAACATCTCCAAAATACGTACGTTCCTAACCCCAGACACTACTAAACAACTCATTCACTCCCTTATTATCTCACGACTCGACTACTGCAACTCCCTCCTCACCGGCCTACCTCATCACAGACTATCCTGTACTCAGCGGCCAGACTCATCCACCTTACCAACTGCTCCGCATCTGCCACCCCCCTCTGTCATTCCCTCCATTGGCTTCCCATTGCCCAACGCATTAAATTCAAACTACTAACATTGACGTACAAAGCCATTCATAACACTGCCCCAAACTACCTCACCGACCTGACACCCAAATACCACCCAACCCGTACTCTTTGCTCCTCACAAGACCTCCTACTTTCTAGCTCCCTGGTCTCCTCCTCCCACGCCCGACTGCAGGACTTCTCCAGGACTTCCCCCATCCTCTGGAACTCACTACCCCAATCCATCAGGCTGTCACCTACCCTCCTCACCTTTAGGCACACACTGAAAACCCATCTCTTCAGGGAAGCCTACCCCACCCTCACCTAACAGCCGATCTCCACCACTCCATCCCCCACAGCCACTTCCTCCTGCACCACTATCCTCTCCCTCCTAGATTGTAAGCTCGAAAGAGCAGGGCCTCAAACCTCTTGTATATTGTTTTGTTACTGTATTGTCTCATGTACTGTCCCCCACTATATTGTACAGCGCTGAGCAAACTTTTTGGCGCTATATAAACACTATATAATAATAATAATAATTTGAGAGATAATTTCCTCATGTAATGTATAGCGGCTGGAGAGTATGTAAGCAGCTTCATTAGACTACAGTGTAAGATGGGGGGATGAGGCAGGCTTTATCTTCAAATAAACAATAAAGTGTATTATTTCAGAGACAATAGTCTCACATATTGTACAGTGGCTGGACAGTATGTAAGCACCCTAAATAGAGTGTATTTTTCAGTGAAAATAGCCACAAATATTATACACTTGCTGCACAGTATGTAACAGCTTGATTAGGCCATGATTTAAAAGGGAAATACAAGGTTGTTTTTGTCCTGAAGTAAAAATTAGGGTGATAATAGCCATAAATGATTTATAATCACTGGACACTATGAAAGCATCTTCCATATCCCACTACTTCCCCACTAGGTTTTTTTCCTGAAATAAACATTATAGTTTATTTCACAGACTAGAACCACACATACTGAACAATGGCTGGACAGTATGTAAAATAGCTTGGTAAGGCTGCAATGTATGAAGTAGAAGTGAGGTAGGTTGTATCTTGAAATAAAAATGATGTTGTTTTATTTCAGAGACAATAGCCACAAATATTGAACAGTCACTGGACAGTATGTAAACAGCTTGATAAGTTTTATAAGTGAAATACAAAGCCATCCTTATCCTGAAATAAAAATTAAAGTGACGATAACCACATTTATTTTACAGTCACTGAGCATTGTGAAAGCAGTTTCTATAGCCTGCAATATAAGAGACTAACACAAGGTAGGTTTTATCCTAAATTGTACAGTGGCATGAGAATATATAGGCAGCTTCTTTAGGGTGCAATGTAAGTGGGAGAGACAATGCAGGAATGCAGGTTTTATCTTCAAATAAGCATTAGAGTCTTATTCCAGGGACAATAGCAACACATATTGTACAGGTGCTGGACAGTTTTTTTTAAGAAGCTTGGTTATTTTGCAGTGTAAGAAGGAGAAAAGAGGAAGTCCTAAAATAAACTTTAGCATGTACAGTATTATTTCATAGACAACAGCCACAAATATTGTATAGTGGCTGTACGGTACAGGAGCAAACTTTTAAGAGGGAGACACAAGACAGGTTTTATCTTAACATAAATATTATAGTGTATTTCTTTAGAATTAATAGCCACAAATATTGTACAGTGGATGTCCAGTCTGTAAACAGCTTGATAAGCCCACAATATAAAAGGGAGACAGAAAGTAGCTTTTAACCTAAAATAAATATTGGAGTGTATCATTTTAGAAGACAATAACCACAAATATTATACAAAAATAGGACAGTATGGCTGCAATGTAAGATGAGGCAGATCTCATCCTGAAATTAACTTTAGAATATATTATTTCAGATTAGATAGGTAACATGCAGCTTGTGTTGCAGCTGAATTTCATTCAGGTGAATACTTACAGGTTATGATCTCCTAAAGTTGATGCACACTCTTCAAGCCTGCTGCAGGACATCCTGAAAGCCTGTATACCTTACCATGAACTGCAGTACCACCAGGTTGTGGACTTATGCCAGGCAAGGTATGTGTGTGAACGTTTCCTGCTGAAGAATGGCCAGCAGGTTGATTTTGTTGTCACACATAACCTTACCAGGTAAAAAATGGTTTGGGGTCAGTTACCTCTAGGCCTGGTCCACTTTGACTCCTATCCCCCAGGTATACCATTTGCAAAACAGTCTGGCAGCATTTGACATGACTTCTGCATAGACTGTGGGGCACTTGGGAGGGACTGAAGAATCAGTAGTTGAGACCATTGAAGATAAAGGGGTAGAGGTGATTGCACTGTCACCAACACCAAGATGCAGGACATGGGGCAGCAGCACCATCTCTATTTCTGTACCCTATCCTGCATCCTTCCCAACCACCAAAACATTAACTCATTGGGTGGTGAAGGATATGTAGTGTCTATACCTATGCTTTCTGGAGCACGTGTCCATGACCATGTGGACTCTACCATTAACAGAGTGATCTAGCATTGCAAATATGTGGTAATTTTCTGCACAAGTATAATGTGCTGCAAAAAAAGACAGTTTTGCCTGTGTTGGTAATAGGTTCAGGTTGCTGGCACTTAGCAAAACTAAGTAAAAATAGCATTTTTTTTTCAGAAAGAAAAGAAAGATAAACATAAAAAAATTAAAGGAAATAAATAAAACCCAACAAAACACCAAAAATGACTGCGATGAAGACTGGCAGCAGCTAAACATCAACTGAAGTGTGTTGACACACACAAAACGTAATCTTAAGAAAGACTGTTTGGTCTCTACACTGTGGATACAGGGAAGGGGGGCACTGATAAGTAGCCCACCAAACTGCAATTCACAGTAATGTAGCATAATACTGCATTGTATAGCAGCAACTGTATTTCTTTCTGCAAACACACACTGTTTCCCTATTTTCTTCAATGAACACTTGCAAATGTTGTGAACCCAACATTTTATAGTGAGGGAGATGGCACATCACAAACTCCCATTATTGACCATTCTACACTGCCTAATGCAAGTTCAAGAACTACGAGATACATTTTTGGTAGTTGGTTGTCATGATGGTGACACACATATTAATACGCCATTTCCACAAACTGTGGGCGGGTTGGGTTCACTTCAAACTAATGCTCAAACTGAATCCAAAGCTCATCCCTTTAAATCATCTTTTATATAACTACAAGTTCAAGCATATCCTGCTGTCCAATGATTTTATGCATGAGGCCAAAGTCCAGGTGGCAAATGCAGGTGTTTGTTATTTCACAGCAGCTGGGCATTACTTTTTTTTTCACTCTACTAGTTTCAAGAGAGAGTTGGAGAAGCGTATTATTTTGACTTCAATTCCCAAGTGTCAAAGTAAGCATCTGCGTGCATTCATTCATTCTGTCTGAGTTATCTAAGAGGCTAGATATACAGTATATTAACACTATGTGAGAGTCATTATAAAGCAAGGATCTCCTTATATATTATGGAACTTCCACTCACTGAATTAAAGATACATTGTTCAGCTATGAACTCCAATCATTTTTTTCTAAAACAACACCCTGGCACTCTAAAAAACATCATCCTATCACTCTGGCCCTATGCCACCCATCCTTGGTTGAACATTTAACATTGCAAGCCATCAAATGTATTTAAATTCTAAATGGGAAGTCAGTAACTTTATGAGACCTATGCTTATATCAGTGAAGGAGCTGATTGTGCTAACCCCCCTACAAAAAGCAAGTAAGATTTGCAAGCTTGTAAGCAAATAATCTGTCGGCTACAATGGTTATGATAACCACTTCCCGTCCGCCCTATAGCAGAAATACTGCTACAGGACGGCGCTGGTGTGCAAAATCATGTATGTATTCGTGATTTTGCATTTCCAGGTAGGGGGTGCATGCAAGCCGCACTGCCATTCGCGGCATATGGCTGTCAATCACTGGGTCCTGGACATTAATTACTCGCCATCTCCCGGTGATTTCCGAAAGATCTCCGATGGGGAGGAGGACTGTTTTGTTTACTAACAGTTCTCCTCCCTGTCAGCTCGGGCACACTGCTCTGGATGACTGTGCACAGCACAGCCATCCAGAGCAGTGTGATTACAGTGAAGCACACTGACACGGCCCCCTGGTAAAACACTCCTTGCACACAGTTAACCCTTTGAATGCCCCTCATGTTAACCCCTTTCTGCCCAGTGCCATTAATACAGTGTCAGTGCTTTTTTTTAGCACTGATCACTGTATTGGTGTCACTGGGGATGTCAGTGACACCAACTCAGTTCCCCCCAGTGTCAGAATGTCTGTCACAGTCCCGCTATAAGTCGCTGATCACCGCCATTACTAGTAAAAAAAAAACCCCATCCCAGTATATATACTGCCATTTGTAAACACTATAACTTTCACGTAAACCAATTAATTTACACGTATTGGGATTTTTTTTTAGCAAAGACAGTAGCAGAATACATTTTGGTGTAAATTTATGATGAAATTAGAATTTTAAATTTTTTTTACTGGACATGTTTAAAGCGGAGCTCCACCCAAAAGGGGAAGTTTTAAGGACTGCTCCCCCACTCCCCATTAAGGATTGGCACCTTTGGGGAGTGGGTGGGGGGGGGTAACCAAATTTTGACAGGTACCCGCTCCCACTTCCGGTCCAATTGCCTAGGCAATCGGAAGCGGAAGGTGTCTTCCCTCCCTCCCTGTAGTCTTTTGGGACACATGACAGGACCCAGAAGACTACAGGACCATTCATGAAGTGCAGCACTACTCGCGCATGCTCAGTGGGTACCCGACTGTGAAGCCGCAAGCTGTCACAGCCCGGTGCCCACACTGAAGATGCCGGCCTCCTGGAATACAGGATGCCGGGGAAACGAGCTTTGGGGGACACACCGAGGGACTGGTAAGTGGCTGTTTTTTAGAAGTCAGCAGCTACAGTTTTTGGAGCTGCTGACTTTTATTTTTTTTGATAGTTCGAGTGGAACTCCGCTTTAATAGCAAAAAGTCTAAAATATTGTTTATTTTCTCAAAATTCCGTCTTTTTTTTTTATAACTCAAAAAATGCACAGGCAATCAAATACCACCAAAATAAAGCTCAATTAGTGGGAAAAAAAAGGATGTACATTTTATTTGGGTGCAGTATTGCATGACCGCGCAATTGTCAGTTAAGGTAACACAGCGCCGTAATGCAAAAAAAAAAAGGCCTGGTCATGAAGGGGGGGAAATCCTCAGGAGGGCAAGTGGTGAAAGCAATCAATCATTCACCCGCTACACTAAAGTAAATGTTAACAAACCCAAAAGCTTATCTTTTGTAATATTAGAAATCATGGATTGATTCAATTTAAGGCAATATGCATGAGTTTCCTCAAGTCTCTGATAGAGACCATACGCTTGTTTGTCATAAAACCAGGCACAGGAGTGGACCTGGATTCCCCCAATTATAGAATAAGAGAAGCATCTTGGTTCAATAATTGCAAAGTACAGTAAAGTTTTCATAAAAAGGTATCTTCATGTCTTACTAACAAAAAAAAAAATTAAAAAATTGCAGATTTATACCTCATTTTAGAATGGAGAACAAATGCAGTGTATTCTTCTTTTCCAAAGCCAGGTACCTGTCCAGGGCCCTGTTTGGTCTTAATCATATGCTAGCTATTATAGTATGGCCTGCAGTACTGAGAATTAGTGGTGCACCGAAATGAAAATTCTGGTGCCAAACCTGAAACCGATAATTCAGGATGCACTTGGCCCGAAAACTGAAACCGAAATGTCTGCCTATGTGGGGGTGAGGAGGCTCAATTTTGTGTGTGTTTTTTTTTACTTTTAATGTGTGTTTTTAATTTTTTTTACTTATGATTTTATTGCTATCACATAGGAGACCAATAGTCCCCTATGTGATAGCAATGTAAGTGACAGGTCCTCTTTGTGGGGGTGGGGCAGTGCATGCAAGGAGGGGGCAGGAGGGGGGCAGTGTATACAGTGAGGGTGCACTGTATACAGACGGGCTCCCTCACTTGGTGCCGCTAAATTTAATTGTCAATTTTCTAATGCAATTGTCGGCTTTTTTTTTTCTTCACTATAGCTCCGAGAAGGAGCTGTCATTCGCCCCGCTCAGGGGCGGACTGACCATTAGAGCACTCGGGTACTGCCCGAGGGCCCGGGGTCAGTAGGGGGCCCCATGAAATGCCCGTGGTACCTTTTTATAGGCTTTTTTGAGTGTGCTTTGAGTGTGGGCAAGGACACAGGGGCCCCATGATCCCCTATTGCCCGGGGGCCCCATGAGTTGTCAGTCCGCCCCTGGCCCCGCTGCTAAGGTAAACAAAGGGGCGGGGTCACTGGTTAATGTCACTGGGTGACCTCACTGTATACACTGCCTACCTCCTCTCCTGCCGTTCTCCACAGCTCCCCATCTGCAGTGCACACAGCCCCAAAAGCCCTCCCCCCAAATAGTCAGTTTGCTCCTCATTGGGGCCGGGTCTCTCATTATCAGCACCTGTATCGGCTCACTTTTTCCTATTGGCAAAATGCTGATAGGGCTATTTTCAGCTGTTACAGTTGCAAGAAAAAGTATGTGAACCCCTTGGGATTACGTGGAGTTTTGCATGAATTGGGCATAAAATGTTCACTGAACGTCATCTAAGTCACAACAATAGAAGAACACAGTCTGCTGAACATAATACTACACAAACATTAGATGTTGCCATGGTTTAATTGCACATAACATGTAAACATTCACAGTGCAGGGAGGAAAAAGTATGTGAACCTTTGGACTTAATAACTGGTTGACCCTCCTTTGGCAGCTATAACCTCAACCAAACGTTTCCTGTAGTTGCAGATCAGACCTGCACAACGATCTGGAGTAATTTTGGACCGCTCCTCTTCACAAAACTGTTTCAGTGTAGCAATATTCTTGGGATGTCTGGTGTGAATCGCTCTCTTAAGGTCATGCCACAGCATTTCAATCAGGTTGAGGTCAGGACTCTGACTGGGCCACTCCGGAAGGCGTATTCTGTGCTGTTGCAGCCATTGTTTTGTTGAATTACTTGTATGCTTTGGGTCATTGTCCTGTTGCATTACCCATTCTCTGCGGAGCTTCAGTTGGCAGACAGATGGTCGTACGTTTTCCTGCAAAATGTCTTGATAAACTCTGGAATTCATTTTCCCATCAATGACAACAATCCGTCCAGGCACTGAGGCAGCAAAGCAGCCCCAAACCATGATGCTCCCTCCGCCATGTTTTACAGTGGGGATGAGGTTTTGATGTTGGTGTGCTGTGCCTTTTTTTCTCCACACATAGTGTTGTGTGTTCTTCCCAAACAACTCAATCTTGGTTTCATCTGTCCACAATATATTTTGCCAGTAGTGCTGTGGAACATCCAGGTGCTCTTTTGCAAACTTCAAACGTGCTGCAATATTCTTTTTGGACAGCAATGGCTTCCTCTGTGGTGTCCTCCCATGTACTCCATTCTTGTTTAATGTTTTCCTTATTGTAGATGTGTCAACAAAAATGTTAGCATGTGCCAGAGATTTCTGTAGGTCTTTAGCTGACACTCTGGGATTCTTCTTTACCTCATGCAGCATTCTGCGCTGTGCTCTTGCAGTCATTATTACAGGACGACCGCGCCTAGGGAGAGTAGCAACAGTGCTAAACTTTCTCCATTTGTAGACAGTCTGTCTTACCGTGGACACATGAACATCAAGGCTTTTGGAGATACTTTTGTAACCCTTTCCAGCTTCATGCAAGTCAACAATTCTTGATCGTAGGTCTTCTGAGAGCTCTTTTCTGCGAGGCATGGTTCACATCAGACAGTGCTTCTTGAAACCAGTAAACCCAAAACAGGTGTGTGTTTTTTAAGGGCAGGACAGCTGTCAGCAACACATCCAATATCATCACACTGATTGAAGTCAAGGTTGGCTCACTCCTGGCTCCAATTAGCTCTGGGAGAAGTCATTAAGCTAGGGCCTCACATACTTTTTCCTCCCTGCACTGTGAATGTTTACATGTTATGTGCAATTAAACCATGGCAACATCTAAGGTTTGTGTAGTATTATGTTCAGCAGACTGTGTTCCTCTATTGTTGTGACTTAGATGACATTCAGAGCACATTTTATGCCCAATTCATGCAAAACTCCACGTAATCCCAAGGGGTTCACATACTTTTTCTTGCAACTGTATATTATAAATTCCAGCCAAAACCTTTTTTATGTTGGATAAAGTGGAGAAGTGTCAAAACCTCTCTCAGATTTTAAGGAAGATTGAAACTGTGGAAGCCAAAGCAAGCAGATGACAAAGAACTAGTCAGCAATATTACCTGTGGTCTCCCAGCAGCTGGTCATTTGTTCATACTGACTTATCTTGCCTTGTTTTACACTGTGGTGTCCATTTGATAGATTTGGGACTTTGCTTCTTTATGTCGGAGCAGCTCTCCTGATGACTGATTGGGAATATTTAATAAGGAGCAGGAGAGGTTCACAAAGCACATGTCCGCAGATCAAATGAAGGAGAAGGAGAAGCAGGGAGGTGCGTGCTGCGCAGACTGCTCTCCTGCAAGCAACGCAGTAGTGACATCACCAAATATCATTCCAAATCTCATGAGACTAGCAGTAAGAAGTAGCAGTGCCTTAGATCTCACACTGCAGATAAACAGCTAAAAGGCTGTAAGCTCTTTCCAGAGAGTCTAACCCTTTCCTACTTTATACAAAACAACAAAATATAAATGTTTTGTCTTTATATACATTTTAGGTGATGCACAAAATGTTTTCCTATCATATTGTGGACAATGTTTTTTTTGACAGTTTTATTGTAGTTTTTTCTGCAAATAGTTCTACTGATGCTACAGTTGCTACTACTACAACTGCTGCTATTATATAGCATTACAAGTGTAACAAGTGGAGGGATTGGCCAAATGATCAGACAGAGGGTAGCTTTAACCTAAACTTTACTAAAAAGGTGAAGAGTGGGGATGAACTCAGGAGGCATGTTTATATCCTAATCTGAACCCACCTGAGAGAGTCCACCAGGTGGCTAGCACCAGTACATGGGCCAATCATAAGTCGCCAAGAGAGTCCACCAGATGGCTATCACCGGTACTGGGCCACCCTTATACAAGGCGTGTGTATCCAGGTGGCCACAGGGCAGGGAATGCCCTGGCCACAGATAATTGGCCAAGTACAGGTGATAGCATCCTGGCAGGCTCACTCAGATGGGTTCAGACTAGAATTCAAACACATCTGAGCTCGCCCCAATAGCAGAGTATGATTAACATTGCAAGTGAGGTCAAATTGGCAAAAAAGGTCTGTCATAGTAAAGTCCAAGATAGATTTGGGTACATACAGTAGGTAAATTGCTGGAGGAATCTCTGGGCTGGCACCACAGGTGAGAAGCTGGAGAAGGTCTAGGGCTGGTACCACAGGAGGCACCTGGAGACACAGGGCCACCCTATGTAACTGACACAATGCTCCCCTTATGCCTCATCAGGTGTTGTCTATCTGAACTGCAGCGGGTAGAAACCAAGAAAATTTATATCCCATGGGTGTGTTCTGGGATTGTGAGAACACAAGTGATTGGAGGAATGGATATAAAATGTAGCGGTACCCCTGTAGATAGAATGTGATAAAAATACAGTCACAAAAATGGCAATGAGGACCAGAGTTCTTCTAATTGTGCAGAGGCTGCCAGCACACACACATTAGTGACTCCATGCACACTGACCCAGTAACCAGTCTAGGGGATTTTTGTTAGATTTTAATACTAAATAAACTTAAAAATAGGGAGTTCCCTTTCTTGAAAGTGGTACTCCCTGACCTCTGAAAGACCATATTAAGGGATACTGTGCAGGGGCGGACTGACCATTTGGAAACTCGGGCACTGCCCCAGGGCCTGGGGTCAATAGGGGGCCCCATGAGATGCCCCTGGTACCTTTTTCATAGGCTTTTTTGAGTTTGGGCAAGGACACAGGGGCCCCATGATCCCCTATTGCCCGGGGGCCCCATGAGTTGTCAGTCCGCCCCGATAATGTGTGAGTTGCACTCTGTAAAGCTACACAGACTCTTATATCCTTGCAGCTGATAGAATAGCTGCACAGACTTAGCTTCCTGCTGCCTTCTAGTGAAGTGACAGTAGACTGGATCCTCAAGGGTGAAGTCTCAAAGGTGTCAAAGGTATGAGCCCCCTGGATCTGCCAGAGCCAGGACCCCAATGAACAGCAAAATGAATCAGCAGCAAGGCTTTCAGAGGTGGCAGCTTTCCCAGTTGAGAGAGCGCATGGCTGTCCCAAATATGTATACTCTCCTCCATCATACTCCAATGGTTTGAACCTCCTACTGGGATGACTGGGGGAAATATGGATATTTATAACTCAGCCTAGTAGGAAATTCTTGTACTATAGCCAGTGGTGCAGCGACCCCTTCTGGTAACAGAGACCACCACCCCACCGAGTGTAGGGAGAAACTAAAAGGCACAGCTATACAAATCAAACTAGGCAGACTACCACTCAAACAAAAACTAAATTTTCCTATCACTTAGTAACCTAACTAGGAGTGTGCTACAAAAGGAGTCTGCACCTGCATCTGAGCATGGTGAGTTAGGGGGCACTCTGATACACTACTGCTATACTACTACCTACTTACAACAGCTACTACTGCTTTTACTACTTCTACCTAATACCACAAATACCATTGTTGCTGCTACCACTATGTTTACCATAGCTCCCAACTGTCCCTGATATGCAGGGCGTGTCCCTAACTTGGAAAGAGTGTCCCTTTTTGGACAAAATACCTCTTTCCTCCTCTTTGTTTCTTTATTTTGGACTGTATAAAAAATGCACTATTTATCTATACAAAAAAAGTTGTACTATGAAAAATCATTTTTCAAATTTCTAAATTGTTGTATTTGTAAATGTCAAAAACCAATATAAAGGAATAGAACTGGTAAAAAAGTAACTTTTGGGTTTAAGCCTATGTTTGCCTTCATACATTTTGCTAATAGTTGCCCCTTTCCCATCTCAGAAAGTTGTGTTTATTGCTACTACTATCGTTACTATTTCCTCTTCTTTTTTTATTATTATTATTAACATTAATAATAAAAATATTTTTTTCATTATATTGATTATGATTATTTTGCTACATTTTTAACAAAACATATCAAATTCTGGTGAGTACAGTTAACCGGAATTGTCATATGTTAATGGAACAAAATGTGGGAAGCAGAATTTAAGGCTGTTTTGCTGACCTGAAATTGCTGTAGTTTCAGTTCTATCGATACCATGTAGGTTTCTAAATCCTGCTGGCAGAATCTTTTTCAGCTTTATTAATGATTCACATGGCAGTTTTTGAAGAGACAAGCCCCACAGAGAAGGAGCATTTGATTAATGACCTGGAAGCACTTTTCCTTTTCAGCTGATTAAATAAAATTGACTGGATTTTTACATTTTTATAATAAAATGACCTATGGGGCTAGGATGACACAGTGAAAGAAGCAGCATGTTCACTCTTCAGCAGAATTTTATTTTGTCACTTGTAAAAATGAAAGGGCTACCCACCCGAGCAGAAAAATGCACTTTATCACCGTCCACTGGCGACATGCTGACAATCGCTGCATACAAATAGACAAACACGGAGGAAATGAGAGGATTGTTTACGTTCATTTTGGGGGAAGTCAATAAAGTTTTTTTTCTCTAGCATTCCCAGTGTGTTAAATACTGGTCTTGGCAGGAAACATAAAATCAACAAACAAAATGTTTTATGAGTATACTGTATGTATGGGGTTGGTTGGGATTTGTTTATTTAAAAAAGGAAAATAATATTTTTATATTGCTGCCATATTTTTTATTTGCATTATTTTATATTCTACTGCCATCCAGTGCCATCCACTCCTTCCATATCTACCTAGTGCAAGAAAACAAAGTAGAGTAGTACGGCCATAGTGTGTTGGCAGGTGGTGCTGTCTGCTACTGCCTCATTATTAACTAGATAATCAGCACATTTCAATTGATTTATTAAAAACATGAATCCTCAATTACGGCCACCAATATGTGCAGAGGGCCACACAATAGATTCATTTTTGTAAATTCCCTTGCACAGAGCAGCTGGATAAACCTGTTTTTTCTTTAAATAAATACTTCACAATCACTTTAAATGAAATTATGAGTTGTCACTGGATTAGGAATAAAGAGGATATCTTTCAATGGGCATACTTTTTGCAGAGATAGTTGTCTAAAAGAATATTTCCCTTCCTTTAGAGAGATCTTATCTCACTCCCTGTTGTGCCTTGGAAGGGGAAATGAAGGAAAATCCACAGAGAGCAAAGACAAAAATGGTGACAGGGGTTTTAAACCATTCCCAATTCTAACAGTTGTGAATGATAATAAAGCGGTAGTAAACTGCATCCAAAAAAGAAAAAAAAAAATCCCCTGCAAGGTGAAGGCATAATGTACTAGTATGCATTGCACACTAGTACATTATAAAACGAAACCCTCCAGTGGTGTCACGGCTTCCCAGGGCTTCCATCTTCACCCGGTCTTCCTTCCAGGTTCGCAAACTCTGGCCATCTGAATGGCAGAGCCACGATGATGTCATTCCTGCGCGGGAGTCCCAGGTCATGGCACAGTGCTCTGAAGGAATGGCATGGGTATGCCATTCCTTCAGAGCGCATGCGCCGGATATCAACAGGAGCCAATATCTCCTAAACAGTGCACATTTAGGAGATATTCATTTTACATACAGGTAAGCTCTATTATAGGCTTACATGTAGTGAGATTATTAATGAAGAGTTTACTACCACTTTAACAAGTATTTCTCCACTCCAAGTGGCTCCTCTTTCAATCGAACACTAGGTGCTGGGGGTAAGTCAAGCCATCCACAGTCACAAACTAAGTGTAGGAACAAGAGCAGACCAGACATGTACAAACATCAGCAGTCTCCACCCCAGGACCACCGCCCTCTAATGAATTACAACCAATAGTTGACTAAGCCCTGTTGGGTAAAATACATTGGAGCGGGCAGTCCTGGGGTGGGGACTGCCATTATCATGTCTGTGGATGTCTTTTACAATTAAGCAGATGTCAGTGATCTCTCCAGTGTGTGGTGGCTTCTTGTTTCTAAAAGTTGTGGGTTGCAGTTCTTCCCTAAACTTCCCTAAACAGAGATTTTGGTCCATATTAACATGAGTTACTGTTGCCTTATTCTGATGGTTGGTTTGAACTTCAGCAAGTTGTCTTTGCCGCATCTAGATGATTAAATGCTTTGAGTTGCATCCATGTGATTGGCTGATTAGCAAATTGTGTTACCAAGCAAATTGAACAGGTGTACCTAATAAAGTGGCCGGTGAGTGTATGAATAAGTCACCCTTTGCTTACATTTCTGCTTTGCCAGTTGAGGGCAAAGGAACAGGTTTGCTTTAAAGGCTAAGTTAAAAAAATTATAATAAATTCACATTTTCTGCAGGTAAAAATATTGTTTGTTCACTTACTATTTTTTTTTTGTAGGAGCCTGTAAAGCATTGCACCCGCGATCAGCAGAACACAGGTGCAATGCAGGGCTTCTGCAGACTGTCAATGTAAGTGGTTTGCCCATACCTTGTATGGGCAGGAAGTTACAGAATCACAAGAGGAATCAATGGACTACGAGATGCTCAACAGCATCCTCGCAGACCATTAAGAACTACAAACCATCAGCTGGAAAGGCTGATGGAACTTGTAGGCATTCATTCACAGAAACCTTAGGAATGACTGATGTGGCTGTGTCAAATTATGGCAACAGGGGTGCGGGGAGAAGATCCCCAGCCTGTTGTCACAGGGGGGGAAAGGGGGTGGGAGAGCTGTAGGAGTGGGGACATATTGCTAAAAATGGGTGGAACATGTAACATGTTCCCAAAGGTGAATTCAGCCTTTAACCCCTCTATGGACAGTTCTGCATGACATGTGGACCAGGTTTGGAAGAACACTTTGGTATTAGTAACCTTATGTATTTCTGCATCCATCCAGTCTGATTACCTTCATAAGTATGAAAGTCTTTTAAACCTTTTGAGAAAGATATACATTTTCCATGTTGTGCTAGACACAAGGTGCCCTAATTTATTTTCTATTGAATATCATCGCAACATCTTTTTATGATGTGCCTATACATCGTGTGGATGTTGTCCTTTAATCTGATCATTTCTTTGAAGTGACTGCAGGCACACTTTTACAATTTCCCTATTGTATTTAAAAAAATTATTTTATACTTATTTATTTTTTGTTTACAAACTTTTATTAAATGGAAGATACAAAAAACATTTCAGTTTCCATATACAGCAGATACATCATATAGGAACTATAAAGGCTCAATACACAGTAGTAGGAAGCCGCTGTGCAAGTGTACAGGATATTTAAAGATCAACAATAAAAACATTTAAAAAAAAGTAATACAAAAATTGCATTTTCAGGGTACAGAAAGGACTGTAGGCAAGTATATCCAATATATCAAGAGTAAAGTAATATCTTATTATCATAGTATACATGAAATAGCAGAAAATGCTATACTAGATCCAAAAAGGACATTAAGCAGATGTGGGTAGCCGATAAAGAAATCCTGGATCCCATGTAACGTCAAACCGAGGCTTAGAATCCTGAATACAACCCCTCACCACTCTTGGAAAATGTTTATTCAATTGTTTAATTGTGAAGAAAAAAATAATAATCACAGACATGCCTCAAAACTATTTTAACTTAACATTCCAACATTCTGGCTTTAAGAAACACTTAAAAAAAGAAAAAAGACAGAAAACTGTAGTCAATTGTAACTGGTTTTGCAGACCAAGCGGAGGAAAAAATATGGAATCACACAATTCTGAGGAAAATATTATGGAATCACCATGTACTTTGCAGTTCTAAAACAAACATCTGCATCAGATTACATCTGCTAATTAGTCTGCAGTTAAAAAAGAGTGCTTGCACACCTTGGTGAGCTGTTGCACAAACCTGATTGCCATGAATCATGGCTCCAACACGAGAGATGTCAGTTGAAACAAAGGAGAGAATTATCAAACTTCTTCAAGAGTGTAAATCATCATGGAATGTTGCAAAGGATGTTGGTTGTTCCCAGTCATCTGTGTCTAAAATCTGGACCAAGTACAAATCAAATGTTGTAAAAGGGAAGTGTACTGGTAGACCAAGGAAGACATCAAAGTGACAAGATAGAAAACTTAAAGCAATATGCCTTGAAAACAGAAAATGCACAACAAAACAAATGCGGAACAAATGGGCAGAAACTGGAGTCAATTTCTGTGACCAAACTGTAAGACATAAAGGAAATGGGATTTACATAGAGAAAAGTCAAACGAAAACCATCATTAACACCTAAACAGAAAAAAAAGCAAGGTTACAGTAGGCTATAAAAAAATCAATCATGGACTGTGGATGACTAGATGAAAGTGATATTCAGTGATGAATCACCAATCTGCATTGGGCAGGGTGATGATGCTGGAAATTTTATTTGGTGCCATTCCAATAAAATGTATAAAGATGACTGCTTGAAGAAAACATGCACATTTCCACAATCATTGATGATATGGGGCTGCATGTCAGGTAAAGGTATGGAGGGAGATGACAGTCATTAAATCTTCAATGAATGCACAAGTTTATATTGAGATTTTGGACACTTTTCTTATTCCAATAATTGAAAGGATCTTTAGTGATGACAACATAATTTTTCAGTATGATAATGCATTTTGCCATAGGGCCAAAGCCATAAAAACTTTCCTTCAAGAAAGATATATAATGTCAATGGCATAGCCTGCAAATAGTCTGGACCTCAATAAAATTGAAAATCTATGGTGGAAATGATAGAATATGGTCTGTGACAAGGCTCCAACCTGAAAAGCTGACCTGGCAACTGCAATAAGAGACAGTTGGAGCCGGATTGATGAAAAATAATGTTTGTCGATATCCATGCCTCTGAGAATTAAATCTGTTATAAAAGCCAGAGGTGGTGCAAAAAAGTAGTAGTGGTGTATTGTAGTGGGTTTTTTTTGTATGATTCCATAATATTTCCCTCAGAAGTGAGGGATTCCATATTTTTTTCCTCTGCTTGATCTGCAAAAACAGTTGCAAATGACTACAGTTTTCTTATTTCTTTTTATAAGTGTTTCTTAAAGCCAGAAGGTTGGAATTGTAAATGAAAACAGTTTTGAGGCATGTCTGTGATTATTATTTTTTCTACACAATTAAACAATTGAATGAACATTTTCCAAGAGTGGTGATTCCATACTTTTTGCCAGGGGTTGTAGTATGAAATATTTGCTCCATGAGCATAATTGCATCCATTCTAGAAAAAATTTGTGAGAAAGAGATGTTTGTAGTCTTCCAGTGAAATGCAATGACCCAATGCAAAGCCACAGATAGGGTGTGTATCAAGCTCTCTAATTCTATTTATTTAAAAAACAACTGAGTACTTTTTAATTTGCAGAAATATCCAAGTTTTCAGGACAAGATTTCAGGGTGTGTCCCCTTCTTTTACGTCCAATCAGGTTACAAAATGTGAATGTTATCCCAAACAATAAAAGACATCACAGACAGTACTCAATTGTTCTTTTTGTAAGTGCACTTATATGGCTACAATTACCTCTAGTATACTTATTTACAAAGCTAAACACATATTTGCATAAAACATACACAGTATCTCAAAGAATTGAGTACACTCCTCACTTTTTTGTAAATATTTTATTCTATCTTTTCATGTGACAACACTGAAGAAATGACACTTTGCTACAATGTGACGTAGTGAGTGTACAGCTTGTTTAAGTGTAAATTTTCTGTCCCCTCAAAATAACTCAACACACAGCCATTAATGTCTAAACTGCTGGCCACAAAAGTGAGTACACCCCTAAGTGATAATATCCAAATTGGGCCCAAAGTGTCAAAATTCTCTGCTAAACTGGTAGAATTTCGATCCATCTATGAGCAGGCTGGTTGTACAGAAATCAATCTCTAGGGAACACTGATCATTGTATTCTGTTGTGAGGGAAGGCTCCCTGCTGGCAGAACACAATAGCACTGCAGGAGTGATTGCCCCATCCACATGGAATATGTGGATGGAAGAATCAGCATATTTGTTTTCTTCAACCCACTGATTGAACAAAAAAATATATAATGTATTGCCTGCCTAAGGTAAGCTAATATTATTTACATCAACTTATTATTAACACATATTACTAATATTATTATGTCAACAGAATGTTCACTTTGTAAAGTGAAGATTTCTTAGAGTTATAAGGTCATTTTTACCCAGACGTTCTATTACTTTTATTGTGTGTAATATGCATATAGTTTGCAAGCAATACCTGCATTCTAGCTACTTTTAACACTCATTTTAAAAATCAAATTTCAGGGTTTACAATATAAGCGTCTATTTAGAATGCAATAGTTATTATACCCCCTGCGGAACGCCCACCAGCAGTGTACTGCAGACAGCAAAAAGACATCCTGGTGCACTACTGCCTGCTTCTGGGTTTAGGGCGCACGCAATGACTGCCCCCCATGGATGCCCTCTATGATTGTACTCAGCGGGAGTCCGGTAGCATGTTCTGGCCACTGATTCACCTGTTTATTGGCTGTGTACAATCACAGTCCTGTGCCCTGTGTTGATATTCAATACAGGGCTCTGTACAGAGGAAACAATCTCTTTGTTTCTCATCCCTGCAAAGCAGGGATGAAAAACAAAGAAATAAATTAGTAAAAGCAACACTTAATACACACATTACACATTTGTAGGCATAACCCTCTGATCACCCTAGATGTTAACCCCTTCCCAGCCAGTGTCATTAGTACAGTGATAGCGTGCATTTTTATCACTGATCAGTGTATTAGTGTGACTGGTGATGTCAGTGGCAGTTAGTCAGTTGCCCCCAGCATCAGTTAGTGTCAGTCAGTCCCATTATAAGATGCTGATCACCGCCATTAGCAGTATATAAAAAAATTCCAGTAAATATACCAAAGTTTGTAGACGCTATAACTGTCACATGAAACAATTAATATACTCTTATTGGGATTTTTTTTAATCAAAGACATGTAGCAGAATCCATTTTGGCCAACATTTATGAAGAAATTTGATTTTTTAAATGTTTTTATTGGATTTAAAGATGTTTTAAAGCAGAAAGTAAAACAAAATATATATTTTTTATGTCGCAAAAAAATAAAAATCCCAGTGGTGATCAAATACCACTGAAAGAAAGTTCTGTTTGTCAAAAAAACTATATAAATTGTGTTTGGGTATAGCATTGACTGCGCAATTACCAGTTAAAGTAACACAGTGCTGCATAGCAAAAAGCTGGCCTGGGTAAAATCTATAAACAAGTAAATTTGTAAACATTGCAAAACATCAGCCTATCAACAGTCTGCACAATACATTGTAAGGAGTAACGGACTGAGAACAACAAGGAAGTCAAATGCTCCACACACCTTTTTGGGGTAATTGGGGTAATGTGTTCAAGGGGATCACTTAGCAAAATAACTGTAACCGAGTCATTTATTTGTAGATTTCTATCATTAAGCCCACAGGCTAAATGAGGGAAAATCAACAGATAGGTCACTGTTCTGCTGATAGTTTTCCACTCAGCTCACTCAATTTTTAAATAATTTTTTTATCAAGCCAAAATGGTGTTGACAGGACCACTTATGGCTCAAATTTCAAGCTGTGTTAAACTAACTTTAGCTTAACAATCAGGGCAAGGTAATAGTGTCTGGGTAAAGCTAGCCCCCCCCCCCCCCTGACCCAATGATATTCACCTCTCCACTGCTCCCCTACTGCTCCTTCTATGGCTGCAAAATGCCCATTGCTTCAGATATTGGGGAGTTTATGACCTCATTTCATGATGCAGTGCTTTGTCCTAGCAGTCAATGAAAGGGGAAGTAATGACACTGCTCCGTTCCAAAACCAGATCATAAGGGGATTTCGGTGGTGGTTGCAAGAGATGAGTTTGAGTTCTGGCTTGGCACTGAACCTATGTTTACTGAACCCTGGCAACTGCACTAACATAGAGGCATGGGAATGGTCATGTCCTCATTAACCTAAATTACTGGTGGCTACTATAAGCGAAAGAGCGACAAGGAAAGTTAGTATCATTTCAGGAGGGGAGGCAACTTTACATAGACACTGTAGTTTTGCCCTGAATGGGTCACAAATGATACTTTCTATCAGGGGCGGACTGACCATTTGGAAACTCGGGCACTGCCTGAGGGCCTGGGGTCAGTAGGGGGCCCCATGAGATGCCCCTGGTACCTTTTTCATAGGCTTTTTTGAGTTTGGGCAAGGACACAGGGGCCCCATGATCCATATTGCCCGGGGGCCCCATGAGTTGTCAGTCCGCCCCTGCTTTCTATGCTACGCAGTATTCATGTACTCACTGGAGGAACAGATCAGAAAACTGCTAGAAGAAGGAAGTCCATATAGTATAGTTTAGGCACATCTTGCTCATCTCCCTGAACCATTACATTCCAAACAGCTAATTGGTAAAAGCACGGTATTCGGCACAGGCTGAATATTGGCCAGTATTGGCTGGTTCAACAGAAACTGGCTGACATTTGGCCTGTGTGTACACCAGCCTGTCCAACACAAGCCAGCCAAACAGCCAGCTGTGTGGCATGCCAATGGCTGTGGCTGCCAATGGCTGTGATCGCTGACAGGTGTTTTCTAGTGGGGGGGACAGTCCCCCTGACAGAACACAATAGCTCAGTGGGGAGATCACCATACTAATATTATTTAGTTAGTACAGCGAGCTCTTCGCAAGCTCTTCAGTTTTTTTTTCATTCAGCTCTGGGTTGAATGAAAAAAAAAAACTGATAGTGTGTGCCTAGTATTAGGATGCACACAGATATGTAAACAAAGCAATCTTTATACCAATCTAGGTCTTTGATAACATCCCTCAAAGCAAAGGGAAAGAAAAAAACAGAATTAACTGGCTAAATTTACAAGATTATCGATATCCCTGGCTAAAGAACAAATGTAATAAAAATTAGGTATCCTTCAAAAGATTAAATGTAGACTTTTGGCTTATGCATATCAGGGCCATTCGGTAAAATATCAGCAAGAGAATGGTCCAGGAAGACAAGAGAAGAGGTGATTTCTCTTCACAGGAAGGGCAATGGCTATAAGAAGATTGCAAAGATGTTAAACATACCAAGAGACACCTTAGGAAGCATCATTCGCAAATTCAAGGCAAAGGGCACTGTTGAAACGCTACCTGGTCGTGGCAGAAAGAAAGATGCTGACTTCGATTGCTGTGCGCTACCTTGAAGGCGTAGAGTGGAGAGAGAAGTCCCCGTGTGACTGCTGATAGAACTGAGCTCAAAAGATTTTTCAGATGTGGGTTGACAGAAGTTTCAGCCCAGACAATTCAAGCTGAAACACACTTTAGCTTAATGAATCAGGCAAGGTCCGTAGCCTGGGTAAAGCTAGCCCCCCCCCCCTGACCCAATGATATTCACCTCTCCACTGCTCCCCTGCTCCTTCTATGGCCAAAATGCCCATTGCTTCAGATATTGGGGAGTTTATGACCTCATTTCATGATGCAGTGCTTTGTCCTAGCAGTAATGCCAAAAGGGAAGTAATGACAAACCGTTCCAAAACCAGTGGGATAAGGGGATTCTGGTGGTGATTGCAAGAGATGATTTGAGTTTGGCTTGGCACATGAAACCTATGTTTACTGAACCCTGGCAACTGCACTAACAACAGAGGCATGGGAATGGTCATGTCCTCATTAACCTAAATTACTGGTGGCTACTATAAGCGAAAGAGCGACAAGGAAAGTTAGTATCATTTCAGGAGGGTCAATTTACATAGACACTGTAGTTTTGCCCTGAATGGTCACAAATGATACTTTCTATCAGGGGCGGACTGACCATTTGGAAACTCGGGCACTGCCTGAGGGCCTGGGGTCAGTAGGGGGCCCCATGAGATGCCCCTGGTACCTTTTTCATAGGCTTTTTTGAGTTTGGGCAAGGAAACGGGGCCCCATGATCCATATTGCCCGGGCCCCATTGAGTTGACAGTCCGCCCCTGCTTTCTATGCACGCAGTATTCATGTACTCACTGGAGGAACAGATCAGAAAAACTGCTAGAAGAAGGAAGTCCATATAGTATAGTTTAGGCACATCTTGCTCATCTCCCTGAACCATTACATTCCAAACAGCTAATTGGTAAAAGCACGGTATTCGGCACAGGAATATTGGCCAGTACTTGGCTGGTTCAACAGAAACTGGCTGACATTTGGCCTGTGTGTACACCAGCCTGTCCAACACAAGCCATGTGGCTGCCAATGGCTGTGATCGCTGACAGGTGTTTTCTAGTGGGGGGGGGACAGTCCCCCTGACAGAACACAATAGGGCTCAGTGGGGAGATCACCATACTAATATTACTTGTTAGTACAGCGAGCTCTTCGCAAGCTCTTCAGTTTTTTTTTCATTCAGCTCTGGGTTGAATAAAAAAAAAAAAGGATGATAGTGTGAATGCATTAGGATGCACACAGATATGTAAACAAAGCAATCTTTATACCAATCTAGGTCTTTGATAACATCCCTCAAAGCAAAGGGAAAGAAAAAAACAGAATTAACTGGCTAAATTTACAAGATTATCGATATCCTGGCTAAAGAACAAATGTAATAAAAATTAGGTATCCTTCAAAAGAATTAAATGTAGACTTTTGGCTTATGCATATCAGGGGGGTTTCGGTAAATTTTGGTCAGCCATCTTCTATTTTACAGGTTAGAGTACTTTCGTATTTGCAAATGCAATCAGTAGAATTTTTGCACAAAGTAACTTGTGTTTTAAGTCTACTGGTCCTTTTTAATTAAATTATGACTTTAAGGACATTACTGTTGGTGAAATAACTAAACCCATATTATTACAACTGTATAGAAAAAGGAGAAAATGAATCATGTGCCATAAATGTTTATTTTTCCACTTATCAGGTTTACTCATGTGTATTTAAACTGTTCTAAAAAGAAACATTTTTCTTGTTTCACTTTTTCCTACATTTTACTACATGGAGATGTATATGTGTTGCCTGTTTTTGATTAATTAAATAAAACTGAATGAAACCATATGACTTATCCAATAAAAGTTTTCACTTACCTTTGTAAAGTTATACTTTTGTTGTTCTTGCCCATTCATTGTGACATTTTTTTAACATTTTCCCATGTCTTTTGCTTCTTGCCTATGTGCCAAGTGGTTGCCTTTATAGGCTTCATCCACTGCCCATATCTATTACAATACATCTAGCACTCATTATTTGTGTATATTTTTCATCTTGGTTAATGAAAGCCACATTGTACAACAGCACAAGGACTACATGCTTATATAACATTAATGCGCCTAGCGACTAACCAAAGCAACAAAGACTTTTATTGAGTCTATGTATAAACAGTGAAGACATCGCTGGAAGGAAAGGAGTCGGGCTTTTGTGAAGAGTCTTGTACAATGCATACCTTCATATTTACTGGCAGCATGATTACACCCATTTAGTTGCTGTAATCGTACATCTCGGCATGACCTTCCAAGGAGAAGTGGAATGGGCACTGACCTATTTTTTTAGTTGTGCATTGTCTTTAATAATAGAAAATTTTCAGTTGGAAGGAACTGCCATATCAAATAAGAAGTAATTGTAACAGAAGAAAATCGCAAGCTAGAGGATGAAAATAATACAGTTCCACTCTAGTATAAAAGTAGCTATTGAAATACTTTTACATTGCAAAACAAATGTACTGTAGGGATCTAGGCAACTTTTTTGTTACATTTTTATTTATTTATTTTGTAGTCTTGGTTTCTGTTATTGAGTTGGTATTTTTATAGAATATTGTACATAAAAAAAAAATATTACTACTAAACACTTTACCATTCCCATTCATGTCTTAGCCAATGGAGTGTAAAAAAGGCAAATGTCTAATTACGTATGTTTTAATACCGGATATAGCAAGGACTTCAATGTTTATTAATTATATTAACAAAAAAATTATGTGTTGAGTATGAGTCAATGTAGGAGAAAGCTAGATAGATAGAGAGACAGACAGACAGACAGACAGACAGACAGACAGACAGATAGATAGATAGATAGATAGATAGATAGATAGATAGATAGATAGATAGATAGATAGATAGATAGATAGATAGATAGATAGATAGATAGATAGATAGATAGATAGATAGATAGATAGATAGATAGATAGATTGCATATGTATGTAAAATAAAATGTGAAGTGTATACAATGGAAAGTATATAGCGCATATTGAAGTTCTAGAAGACGAAACCAATTTGATTTGTATCTGCTTATAGCTCACAAACAAGTGTGATTAATGTTCATCTATACAGACTTATTATAACACATAAATAAATTATTTACGTATAATATATAGGTACCCCATACGTTATGTCAGTTTATTCAAAGAGCAAATGTAGAAATTTTATTGATAGTACTACATTAATGGAAGCATAAAATATATTTAGGACTTGGAACAGAGGTTCAGGCACCTCTGTTCCTATAGTGCCAAAATAACATGATATTATTATTATTATTGTTAATAATAATAATAATAATAAAAAATAATACCAACAGCAGCACCTATTACTACTACTACTAATAATATTAAATAAATCTAGCAAGTTGCATATTATAATTAAATAATAACTTACAAAGGTTAAAATAAGTGTATGAAGCCTTAGAAAAATATAAATCTAAAGCAAACAAAACACAAATTTCACATGAAAACACATTTTTGAATGAATATTATCCTTCAAGTGTTCACATATAATTTATAATAACAGGTAACATTTACAGGCAAAGTAGACTGCAATCAATGTAAAAATAATGCATTTTTTAATCTTAGTGTGGGCCATTCTTTTTCAAGTAAATGTGTAAATAGTAGATACTGAATTCCTGTTAGTGTTTGAGAAACTGATAACAGCTTTGTGGTGAACATTACCCTGGTATCTTGTGACCGCCGTATATTTCCAGCTGGTATGCAAAGCAATTATGGAATGATCTTTAAATACGTCTCTCTGTATCAATGAGAGTGTTGCACATTTTTCAAAAGAAATGACTGCTTGAGCATCAAGTATTTTCCCTCCCGCTGAGCTAATTTTCAAATGAGTAGATCCTTTTATGGCACTGAAAGGAATCAAAAGAAAAATTATGTTTTAAGCTACATGTTGCTTTAGAAATACTTTGAGATCTTGACAGAAATGTTCAAAACACATACAGAATATAAAAAAAAAAAACTTTTCCACTGCCGTTATATTTGTTTTTTTCCCCAATTTATTCATAGTTTGTCATATATTTCAACCACAGAAAATTTCAAGTA